ATTTTCAAATACTAGCCCTTTCAAGGGTTGAGACATAAGGTTATACTTTATAGTGGAGCAAACTTCACCAGCTGGAATCATCTGGATCTTTTAGTGGACCTCAGAAATCAGGCTATGAAGGCTGAGAGTGAGCTAGGTTAGATTGTAGGTATCTTCCATCCAGAAAATATTCTTTCTAGTCTCCCCCACCCCTTTATTAATCTCAAATGGCAGTGTAATTTACATACTCTTCTGCACCTTGACTTTTTAATTTTTGTTGTTTTATATTTAGCAATATGTTAGGACATAAAGAGCTTCTTCTTTTTCTAAAAGACCACACTGTATTCTATTGTTTGTCTATACTATAACTTTTTAAACAGTTTTCAAACTTTTGCTATCCTATATAATAAAAGGGTAGTATGCAAATTGACCCTAAGGGTGGAACCATGGGGAATGACTGGTTGCTATGGCATGCACTGACCACAAGGGGGCAGACCCTCAATGCAGAAACTGCCCCCTGATGGTCAGTGTGCTCCCATAGGGGGAGCTCCACTCAACCACAAGCTGGGCAGACAGCTGCCAGCGCAGCGGCGGTGGCAGGAGCCTCTCCCACCTCCTCGGCAGTGCTAAAGATGTCCGACTGCGGCTTAGGCCCACTCTCCCAGGGAGCTGGCCTAAGCTGTCAGTTGGACATCCCCTGAGGGCTCCCAGGCTGCCAGAGGGATGTCTGACTGCCAGCTTAGGCCCCATCCCCCCAGGGAGTGGGCCTAAGCTGGCAGGTGGACATCCCCCAGGGGACACCCCGGAGTGGATGAATTTTTGTGCACTGGGCCTCTAGTTTTAAATATATGCTGCAGTAAATAGTCTTGTATAGGTTTTTAAAAAAATCAGATCGTGGGCTTGAGGTTAGGGGAATATTTCCCAATATTGGGGCTCGTGGCTGTGCAGGTAGTGAGTGGTAGAAGAGGCTCCCTCTCTGCCTTCTTTCAATCTGAGTCCAGAAATGTGGGTAAGTAAAGGTTTCAGGAAGGTTTAAGATTCTATTAATCTGTTACCTAACCAAATATAGTATGCTGATTATTACAGGTGCTTCCTCTGTGCTCAGTCCTATGCCATATAGAATACAACAATGAATAAGCTATAGTTCCACCCATAACAAACTGGGACTGTCCTTTGGGTAATAAAACTTCCACGCCTATAATGATTTGTCCTTGGTAACATATGTTAACTCTTCAAATTGTGTGGTAGAGACCTTTAGGCATAATAAAGAGTAGCCACTTAATTATGATTCTAATTACACAAATACTTACTGAGTATCCAGTATGTTTGGGGTACTGAACAAGACAGACCTAATTCCTACAATTGTCTGAGGAGACAGAAAGTTAAATAGGCAATAACAATACAATGTGTGACACTTTCATGAATCATTATTGGTGGTTCCAATTTACACAACTGGTAGGAAGACAAACAGGTATAGCCACAATGGAAAACTGTTTTGTAGTGTCTAATAAAAAATTAAACATACTCTATTACCCAGCAATTCCACTCCTAGGTATATATGCCTTAGAAAAATGCTAACATGTGTCGGCAAAACACTTGTACACAAATTTTCATAGCCACTATATTCATAACAGCCAAAAAAGTGGAAACAACCCAAATACTCAACAGGTGAATGGATAATAATTATGGGATGCTCATACAATGGAACACTGTATAACAGTAAAAAAGATGAACTATGATGCACACAACAACATGGATAAATATAAAAATATGTTGAGTCAAAGAATCCATACACAAAATAATATATAGTGTATGATTTTATTTATAGGAACTGGCAAAAATAATTGATGATTATAGAAGTCACAATAATGGTTATCTCTGGGTTACTGAGAAGGAAGAGAAAACCTTATGGGGTGCTGAAATGGTATTTACTTTGATCTAGATCATGATTACACAAGTATATACACATATAAAAGTTCTTCCTACTGCACACCTAAAGTAGTGCACTTTACTGTATGTATTCTCTCAATTAAAAAGTAGAAGGAAAAAAGCCATACAAGTTCTTTTGAGGACACATTTACATTATCCAACCAAACTTAAATGTACATATACTTACCCCAGAAATCCCATTTCTAGAATGCTATCTTAGCACAGAAATGCAAAGATGTATGGACAAAGTTATTTATTGCAACCCTGGAATAGTGAAAACTGGAAATAAATTCTACCAGTAACATAACAGTTAAATAAATGTGGGTAATATGCAGCCAATAAAAACAATAAGTTATATCAATATTATTAATAGCATAAAGATATCCACAAAATATTTTATGCTAAAAAGCAAGTTGCAGAACAGTACATATAGTATGATAAAATATGTGTAAAAACAAAACTTTTTATGTGTATGTATATCCATAAATATGCACCCAAAAATGTCTATAAGGATCGGCACCTCCTTGTTAATAGTGGTTTACCTCTGATTAGATGGGGTTTTTACTTTTATTTTATACTAGAGGCCCAGTGCACAAAATTCGTGCACTCGAGGGGGGGGGGAGAGGTCCCTCAGCCCAGTCTGTGCCCTCTTGCAGTCTGGGAGCCCTCGGGGGATGTCCGACTGACAGCTTAGTCCCGCTCCTGCCACTGCCGCTGCGCTCGTCAGCTATGAGCCCGGCTTCTGGCTGAGTGGCACCTCCCCTCCCCCCACTGTGGGAGCGCACTGACCACCAGGGTGCGGCTCCTTCATTGAGTGTCTGCCCCCTGGTGGTCAGTGCACATTATAGTGACTGGTCATTCTGCCGTTTGGTCAATTTGCATATTAGCCTTTTATTATATAGGATACTTAGGTATTGTTTTAATTAATATAATTAGCACCAATACCTTTGTAATTTAAAATATTAATAAATGATACAAATATGCACAGTGTTACAAGTTTCCCTGACTTGGAAAATCAAATGGCTGATGATGACATTCACTCACAGACAGTAACGGTGGAAGTGATCAGAGGGAGATTGTTGAGAAAGATGATAAATTCAGTCTTGGGCATTTTATTTTGATATTCCTGGGGTACATTCAGGTGAAGATGTCTAGAAGGGAGTTGGATATATAGGTGTGGAGCAGAAGGGAATGGTTAGGAATGGAGCTAGAGATTTTAGGATATGCATAGCAATCAAAGCCACTATAGGAATGAATGGGATTACAAAGGGATAATACAGTGGAATAATGGAGGCAAGTAGGTCCAAAAATGAGGAACACCGAGGCAGACACAAATGGATCAGCCTGCAAAGGACACCCTGATGGAATGACTAGAGAGATAGGAATAAAATCAGGAGTACGAGGTGTCATGCAAGCCAGGAAAAAGAGGTTTATAATGGACAAAGTGCTCAATAGTAACAAATGCTGGTGAGAATGGCATACAGTGGGGCCTTGACTTACGAGTTTAATTCGTTCTGAGACCGAGCTCGTTAAGGAGCTCGTTAACTCAAATTACTCTATCAACTCAATGCAAAAAATCAGCAGAGAGACAGCTGGTATCTCAAAAAACTCGTTAGTCGGGGACACTCGTAAGTCAAGGCCCCACTGTATAAGAAAAAAAAAAATAGTCTTTTGGATTTAGTGACAAAGAAATTTTGGTGAGATCCAGGAGGTTGAGTGTGTATTGGGGCCACTTTCAGTAAATTTAGTTGCTAAGTTGCAGGAGTTGGTTGGTGGAGATAAGGGTCACTAGAAGGGATTAAGGTTGAGAGAAATTTTTAAAATAGAGTATTAAAATTAGAAAGACTTGAACACATTTACATGGTGATGAGAAATAGCTGGTAAAAGTATGGGGGTTGAAATGTTGAGGGCGGGGGGGAAGTGTACAATTTAGCCAATATAACAAGGATGGAATTCACAGCACAGATGGAATGATTCCTCTCAGACAGAAGGCAGGGCACTCCACTGTAACAGGAAGAAAGGAAAAAAGGGTGGTTGTGTATGTGGACAAATACATAGATTTGGTAATTGGAATTTAAGGGAGCTCTCAATTGATAGCTTCTATTTTCTCTATGAAGTAGGAGGTGATGTAACCTGCTGAGAGTGAGGGGAGAAGTGATGAGATGGAGATGCTTTAAAATAGCTGCTATGGAGAACAGGAGGACGCTCTGAGTAGGGAAACAAAAGAATGTGTAGGCTTGAAGTCAAAGACCATGGTGAGCATCATTTGGGGGAATTGTGTGAGGTCATCTCCTAGAAATGAGGGTAGAGGTGGGAGGTCTACACAACGTCAAAATCTCTGACCAACTGGGTTAACTGATTCAAACAACTAGTCAATTCAGTGAAGAAAACCCACTAACATAATTACTTTGCATTACAAAAGCCCAAATCGTGATTACTGCCCCAGCTGAAGCATTTGGATTTAATTCTATCACTGGAGACTCTATAGAATGCAGGAGAAAAGGAGATACTAACAGTAGCACTTCATCATTCTAGTCACAGCTCAGAGGCAGCTCCCTTTCTTATTTGCACCCTCACCAACAATTCTTTTCTAAATTGGAATGCTTCTTATTGCAGCGTTATTTATGGTGACAGGGAGTTGGAGTCAATCTGGCATTCATCACTGAGATAGTAAAGAGGCAAAATGGGATGGATGTACATCCTGGAGTAGTTTTCAGCAATTAGAAGCAAGGAATTATATGTACATAGAGCAGCAATGCTGGGTGAGAAATAGGAGAAATAGCAAGACATAAAAATATATATTAACACCATTTAGAAAAATTAAAAGGACATTCACTGGAAATAATAAACATTTTATAAGAACACATACAAACAAAAATATAGTCATTAAGTAGAAGAGACTGATTGCCAGTGAGAGTGGGAGGAGAATGTGAATGACACGTGGTGGTAATAGGGAATAAAGAAACCAAACAAGATGTCAACGATAACAAATGCATTAGGACCTGGGTTCAATTAACTCAACCCTCTGCACCTAACACACTAACTAAATCCAGACATAAGTGAATCAAAACACTTTACTTAAACTCTTGAAGACTGTTTCAAGCAGCACCTTTATCTACAACCCAGAATATTGGGGTTACACAGGATCAGAGCTGGAGAAGAGTGTGCAGGTCATCTACGGCTGCCCGTCATCTCACCACTTATTTTATGGATGAAGAAACTGAAGCCATGAGAACTGTCTAAAGCCACACAGTTAGTTGTAAAGTTTAGACTAGACCCAGGTCTCCAAGGTCCAGTACTCCTTCTGAGAATTCTCATTTGTTTTGTTGTTACTGTTTGCATCTTAAATGAATTCAACTCCATTCTATGGTTTCTACTTCCTTCATAATTTTTTAATTTAGAAATATATGCAGGAAAAAGGTGTACTGCCCTGCCTACATAAGGGAAGAGTGGTTAAAACCAGTGAAACTTACCTGATTACAAGGGTTCTCAATTATTTTTTTAAATCTATGACACACTTTTGAATATGAGAAATTTTGGCAGCATGCTTGAAGGTATTTCAAAAGTTTACTAAACAAGTCAGTAATAATAATAATATAGTCTTTACTGCACTATAACAATGCCTCAAAGTGCCTAGGAAAGCATAGCGATGTTTATCAACATGCTTATTACCACATGTCAACAATGTATCACAATTTGAATAAAACAGTTCCCTGCCTTGACCACTCTCATTTATACACCCAGGCAAGTGAACATGCAATTTCTCTTTATACTGGATGATACTGTTCTGTGACATGTTTGATATTGTTTGATATTATCCTATGCCTCTCTTCCCCCTACAACAAGCTGAACTTGAGTTTATTCTATATTGCATGACCTCAAATCAATATTATTTATGACAGTCATCATCAAGACATTTTGCATGCTCAATTGTAGCAAAATTGCACTGCTATCTTGGCTTTCAAGAAGGGTTCGGGGCATCCCTGTTGAGATTCAGGCTGCAATGGGAAGCTGTAGAATTGAGTGGTTAAGGGCATGGGCTTTAGTACCCTAGAGACTGGAGTTTGAATGCTATGCCTGTTACTGTGCAACCAACTTTTGGTAAGATATTTAAGCTTTTAATTCAATCCAACAAACATTTAGGGGCCTGCCATATGCAAGATACTGTTTTAGGTGCTTGGGGACATAGTAAGGAACAAAACAAATGAAAATTCCTGTCTGCATGGAGCTGACATTCTAGTAGGGGGATAGAATCAAACAATTAGCATAATAAATAAGCAAATCATATGATGTGTTATAAGGTGGTAAGTGTCATGGATTAAAGAAAAAGTTGAGAAGAGTACTTTGGCATTGGGTTCTGAGGAGAGGGTGCAGGTTGCAATATTAAATAGGGTGGTCAGGGTAGATCTTATTGAAAAGGTGACATTTAAACAAAGTGGAAAGGGAATTAGCCACATGGCTACCTGTGGTAAGCAGATGCATTCCTGTTGAGATTAAGGAAGAGGAATGTAGCAGTGGAGGGAGTGAAGGAGGGTTGAATTTGTGAATATATTTTGAAGGTGGATCCATCATGATTTCATGAAAGATTGGGTATGGTAATTGAGAAAAAGAAAAATGTCAAGGATGATCTCAGGGTTTTTGGTTTGAACAACCAAAAGGATAGAGATATGCCTATACCTGATGAAGGGTATAGTTTGAAGCAGGTTTTCCTTTTTTCTTACTTTATGATTGTGGGGAAAGACCAGAATCAGTGTTTTGGAAATATTGAGATGTCTATTAGAAATTCTAGTAGAGATTAATTTTGAATGTCAACTCTAATTGAAAAATAAGAAAAAATTTAAAAAAGAAATCCTAATAGAGATGATGTTGAGTTTGAACTTGGATACACAAGTCTGAAGTTCAAGAGAGAAGTTTGGGCTGTAAGTATAAAATGGCAGTCATAGGTATAGAGGTGACCATGTGATCAGACGAGGCCACCTGAGGAGTGGGAATAGAGAAGAGATCCAAAGACTGAGTCCTGAGCTCCCACAGCACTAAAAAATCAGAGAAGGGGCACAACCAGCAAAGGAGACTAAATAGTGACCAGTGAAGTTGGAAGAAAATAAAGACAGTGTGGTTTCCTGAAAGCTAAGGGAAGGAAGTGCATCAAGGAGGAGGGACTGATCCACTTAAATATTGCTGATGGGCCAAGGAAGATTATAAGTGAGAAATGACTCATGTATTAGAAATGTGGAAGTTATCAGTAACTTAATTGGAAAAGGTTTTATAGAGTAGTGGAGGCAAGAACTTACCCTGACCATCCTATTATGGAGTGGTGGAGGCAAGAAGAAAAATGGAGATAGGGAGTAGAGACAACTCTGTAATGATGTTTGATGTGAATAGGAACAACAAAAAAAATGAGTGATAGCTGGCAGATGAAGCCTTAGCTCCCTTCTCTATAAACAGGGTTCTCTCAGCGTTATTGAAAAAATTAAGAGATTCAATAAAAAATTTTTTTGAGTACTGAGATAGTACACACAACATGTCTATCACATAGTAGGCATTCAGTACACTGTAATGATTGTTTTAAAACTGTGAATACCAGAATTGAGAGCAAATTGTTATATATTTTATAATAATACAGACTTTAATGTCTTAGACCAACAGATGAGTCATTGTGTGGGGGAACAAAAAAAAAATCTCAGAATAAGTTTTGCTGTAGTGCATATCAAACCACATTTCACAAGATGACCTCCAAAGAACACATCCCCTTAGTGTTCATTGCATTTGTGTTCCCTAGGATGTAGTAATTATATGTATCTACTAGAGGCCTAGGGGGAAAAGCTTCTGTCAAAAACACAATCTTCTCTCTAAATGAGAAGTTTCTCCATTACTGAGCATGCCTTGAGTGTGACAAGGTCATAAAGTCACCCTCCTTTTTCTTGCATATATATTGTTTTTTTCCTCTCTCATCCCCTAATTGCCAAGTTAAATGTCAATGGCATTGGGTTCTGGGGAGAGGGTGCAGGTTGCAATAAGTAAACCGACCTCTGAAATTTTTCTCCTGTTCAAGCCAATGCTCCTTCTAAAATCTTTTTAAGATGGTGAACAAAGAATATTACATAAGCTATGTTAAAGACTGAGCAGAACAGAAGATATTTTAGCTGTGAAATAAAATAAAACTTAAAATAATGTTAATCTGACAAGTATGTATTGATATACACAATAGAGTGCTATATGATAATTAGGCAGAAGTGATGAGCAGTTGACATGAATGTTTCAAATTGGTTATTCTTTCACACAGCCAAGCCTGATTGTATCTTTCTTCTTTGTTAATTTTCTAGGCACTAATATTTTCTATTAATAATTATGTTTTCCAAAACACCATATTATATTTTGTTTATTTATTTGTTAATTCCTTCATGTTTCAAAGGAAAGGTCTTCTTCCTTTCTAAGAGAATCCTTCCATCACCACCTCAGGGACCTACTTCCATCAATGCCCTTTCTCCCATTACCCAAATCTGTCTCTCTCTACTCACAATGCCCAAGCCTATAGCATACTAAAATTCCTCCCCAGAACCTGTCTCCTCCTCAAATCACTACTCCATTCTTCTTTCTTCCAACACCAAACTTCTCTTAGTCCCATTTCTCATTTTGCAGTCATTCTTCCTTCCCAGGCAACCTACCTCTTTCCTTTGCTGTACCACTGAAACTGCTATGTCCAAAATCACCAAGCACCTATTAATTGACCAATCTAATAATGTCCTCTCAGTCCTTATCCTCTTCAACCTCTTGTAGCATTCCAAACTATTGACAATCCCTCCATACTGAAACTTTGTCCTCCCTCAGCTTCCTTGACACCATTCTATCCTGGCTCCTGTTGGCTTTTCACAGGGTTCTCCCCTCAGTCTTCTCTTCTTGTTTTGTGTATTCTCTCTTAGAGAGATAATTCACTTCTCTGGCTTTTGTTACCAATAATATGTGCATAACATTCAGGTCTGCATCTCCAGCCCAAACCAATCTACAGAACTCCAGTCCAATATTTCCAACTTTTTTTCTCTTCTTCTTTTTTTTAATTAAACATCTGCATCTAAATGACTCAAACTCAAACATGTCTTCACATCCATACTCATTATCTTCAGTCTTTCTGCCCAGCCTATGCCATTACCTAAACTACAAATCTAGTAACCATTGTCAATTCTCTCCAATGTCTGGTCACCCACATTCAATTTGTTCTCCAGTCCTAAAATGCCTCTAGAACCCTTACTCTTCTCTTCTTCCCTAGGTACCATGGACTTCATTCAGGGTCTCTACATCTTTTACATGAAATCTCTTTTCCCCTTCCTGGTCCCCACCAGTTCTACTGACTTCAACCACATGGAACTACATAGCCTTCCTTGAATGTCCAATAATCTTTTATACTAAAGAAGAGAGTTTAAATTACTTACATTTTTTAAATGTGTTTTTGATATTGCAGGAAATGCTATCTGTGTTCAATCTACAATATGTGCAAGCTCCAAGCCAATTATGCTACATCACTGAATATTCAGTCAAGGAGGCTCTGGTGCTGATGGGGTAAAATGTGTTTTCTTGCATTAAGAGGGCCCAGATGAGCCCCCTTTGGGTCCCTGGTTCACCAGCCTGTGACCCCCTCCCTCTGCCACTCTCTGGAAATATTATGCAGATTATAAAAGATAAACTAATGACTGAGTTTCATTCAGGGAACTCCTGCCTTGTTCTGTGCAGTGGAGGTCTGTAAAAGGAAAATGTCCACTTTCTCACCCAGAGCAAAATGGAGCCCCATGGGGAGCTGGAAAAAAGCAGGCCTAATTCCTGGCAGCAGCCTTTTCCAATGCTCTTCACTCAACCCATTTGGAGAGAATGGATGTGATTGCAGTTCACTCAGCTCATTGTTAAGGAGCATTCAGATTTAACAAAGGTGTATTTTTAAAATGTGTCTGTCTCATTGTTACATTTTTCTTTTAGACAAGAAGTCCTAGCATAGTATAGTATTTCTTAGATCTTTCCCTCATTTTTCCAGCCATAGCCCAAATGCAGATCGTAATCACATCATTCCTGGGCAATTATAAGGTCTCTCCATCTCCCGTATTCATGTGTATGACTTTGCAAAGCCATTCACTTATTTATTCAGTCACCCTGTCAGTTCGTCAGCCAGTTAATATGTGTTAATTAACAGATGTGCATTGGCCACTATGCTAGGCCCTGAAATATGGGA